GCACTTCATCTGTTTTGGAAACTTGTTTCTTGTTTCCACTGATCCCGCCGAACCCCCTATTCGGCGCTGTCCCTAGCAGGGTCTGGAGCAGGAGTTGCTGGATGGTGGAAAGCACTGATGGATGGATGGACTTGCTTCCAAATGGAATGTTTTGCTTTGTGCTTCCCCCCAGTTGATGCAGTTTATTTGTTATATTTTTGTTGTATGTTCGGGCTCCCGAAGCGTCTGTACGTCCTGCAACCTCGCAGCGCCTCGTACCATCGCCTCTTTGCCGTAATCCTACCCCGTTTTGGCTGCAGCCGGATGCTGTCCATTTCAATTATCGTACGTCAGACCCTCTGGAGTGGTGCTTGAATTTTGAATTTTGCACAACCATTGTAGAAAAACTCTCTTGTCGCTATGTACCGGCCTGTTGTTGCCTGTTGTCAGTTTGTACATTTTTTGATGATCCCAAAGAAAAAACAACAACAGCAGCAGCATCAGTCCCGGATTTAGAGCTCAAGACAATGCTCTACGTGAAAAATTACAAGCAAAAACGACACTTTAATCTGCCATAGGTTGCTGCTGGTTGCTGCTGCTTTTAATTAAAATATCTACTTAAATGTCTAAGAAGAAAAGGCTTTGCTCTGGCCACCACGGACATCCTGTCACCGTAGCGCATTGCTAGCAGCTCTGCTGGCCGAAACTTTTTGCTGGATTTGAAATATTTGCTTATGGATTTCCATGTGGTTGTGCTGTATTTATTTTTTTTGGTGGTCTGGTGGTGGTTCGACGTCCTCTGCTGATGCTGCACTTTGGCTAGCCGCGAGGCAGTCGCTGGTCAGCTTTGGTGGTGGTGGTGGTGCTGCTGCTGGCAGTCCTTGTGGTGGTGCCCTTTTCGGTGGTGGAAACTTTTGCTTACGCATAGGAGTACGGGGGGGATAAAGTGCACTTCAATTGCATTAATTAAAGAATAGCAAAAAACTGATGGCAAATAAACTTTGCTTTATCCCTTAGCATACTTTTGAGGGGTTTGGTAATATTTACATACATTTTATGTACCCACGCATATGTACATACATTTTCTTTCTACGCTTTTGTGGCTGCAGCTTAACCAACACTGAATGTTAGAAACAACACTGCACTTTGTTGAATTTCCAGCAATTTTCAATCGCACAACTAACATTTAATTTTCGTTCACGCTTTTTTGGGCGTCTCCATAAACTGCCTTGGCCATAAACACGCAAACTTTTCTCAATTGTCCAGCACTGGCACTGGCTCTTCCATATGGATCATGCTCTTGGCTTGCCTTGTACATACACATTTAATCTGTGCCATTTTGCCGAGAATGCATTTCGCTTTTCTCCGACTTTTCCTGGCCAATTTCAATACTTTTTGATATGCGAAAGTTGCGGGGAAGAGGAGTGGATGGGATGGTGTGGGAGGAGAGGGATAAATGCTGAAAGCGCAGCGCATGCGTCATATTGATTTTAGCGATGCCGATTGCCGCATCCGGCTCAAAAACTTCAAAGGGAAGCCGCCTCATATTTGCCAAAATGCAATACCAGAGGAAAACTTTCACCCCACCGACACATAGACACACAGACACACACACACACACACACATACACCCAGGAAAGGATACTTTTGGTGTAATTTCCTGTAACTTTTGACTGGGCCAAATGGCCCACGAAATTGAATGTGGTCAGTGCGAAGGACACGGCCCACAAGGCTCGTGGAAGCCTCAGAAAAGCACCCAAAGGACAGCCCAAAACCCGAATCCCCCAGCCAGCACACAAAACTTAATTACCGAACAAGTGTGTGCCTTTTTTGTAACCAATCAATCGCATACAAAGCCATTCAAAATGTCACTGGGAATTAGGCTATAATTCACCCAAAAATAATTCCCCATTCAACGAGAGCTTAGTCCATGAGCCCATCGGATGCCCAATTGAATTCCATTCTTAGCGAGTTGCAAAAACTGTAAATGCAATGGCGGGCAACCACTTGACAGGAGGTGAGACTGAGCCTTGAGTACGGGAGGGGGCAGAGGCTCAGGAAATCAAATCGTCAGCAAGGAAGGAAGGAAGGAAAATTGCAGACGCCAAAGGCCACACAAGCAGCAGCAGGAGGCGGTAGGGAGGAGTGGCGGGAGCACAACTCTTTGGGAAATTCAATTTCTGAGTGCTGAAAGCCTTAATTTTGTTTGCTCGCCAACTCGCCTGGCAAAAAGTTTTCTAATAGAATTGAAATCCACTTCTCAGCCATAGAAAAGCGAACCAGCGAGGCCTGGGCGTGGCCCTGGAAACGCGTTTTAATTTGCAGAATCCGCAAAAGGCAACGCGAAAGATGGAAACTGAAAAGAAAAAAACTTGTCTCAAGATTTCCCCCAAGCCAGAACGAATGCTGAATGGAAATCCCAAAATGGGTCTCTCATTGTGTGGGATTTTCCCAAGCAGAGCAGGATGCCACGTTATTTCCCATAGCAGCTCCTCAACGAAAAACTTTAAGTCTGTTGCCATGCAGCCTGCACTCAAGACGAAGGCAGAGTGCAGAAATTGAGCTGTTTAAAAAGTCTTGAATTGTTCAACGGCTGAATAGGAATTTCTGAGCTCCTACCATGAGTGCAAACGATCCGAAGGAGCCCCATTTCTGAACTGTTGATAATGAAGCACTTCCAAATGGAACCAAATATGCTTGCAGACTGGACCGAACATCAGAGATCTTATCATAGCACAAGCTTACAGCCGATTAAGCCCGACTGAAACCGATTTAAACCGATTAAAACTGCTGAATGATGCCTCTAGACTACCTGTCAATGATGGCCCATCAGGGCTAAAGATTGGGCTGAAAATTGGGCAAAGGGTTGAGATTGGGCCGAAGGTAGATCTGATGATTGTGTTCTGCTGTTGAGCTCTGATGGGCTGAAAACTTGAGGCACAATGCCGAAAGTTCTGTGAGCATTTACATGACAGCAAAATGCTGCTCAGACAAAGAGACAGAGGAAGAGAGAGAAGGAGAGCTTTGGATTGTGCAAGAGACAGCAGACGGCAGACGGCAGACAGCAGACAGCGAGGAGGAAGAGCGAGTGAGTGAGGCTGCATTTTCAATCATACGATGCATATACATGTGTACATGTTATATACGTATTTAAATATACATATATTATGTACAGCGTGTAGATATTGAATGCATTGCATGTACCGTGCACTTGTCGTAGTTGCTGCTGCTGCTGCTGCTGCTGATTGCATAATAATCTGCTCCACCACCACCAACCATCAACATCCTTCCTCAGTGCTGCTCAGAAATGTCTCACTCCCACTCTCTCTGTCTCTGTCTCTGTCTCTATCTCTCTCTTTCAGTCCAGCATGTCTGTCCCGCTGTCTGTCTGTTTTTTTGTCTCTATCGCTGCCTGTATGTTTGTCTCTTTCACTGGCTGGGCATCGAATTCTGAGCGAATTCCCTGAATGTTGGATTTAAATAATTGATTTTTATTTTACATTGATTGGAATGTACATGTGTATATGTATGAGTAACATCTACATCTACTACCACTGCCACGTTCTGCCATCTTCGCTCAGCCCCCATTTGTTGCCTGTTTTTGGCGTTTTAGTCGTTCCATTTGAGGACTTGCAGCACCTGCCATATCGTGTCTTAGAGCTCCAATTGGGAAATGAACCACTCACAGCTGGCATGATCATTCGTAGGTTTTTGTATATAAAATATAAGATATTCCACAATTTGGTAGAGCATAATTAAAGGTCTAATTTGATCTTGAATTTATCATAAAAGTGCCGCTTAGATGACAGGCAACAGATCGTGTTTGATCCGGCAAAACCAGATTGTCATCTTGCTTAGGGCTCCAAAGAAGAGATAGAAGAAACCTCGATTAAAATCATAATAGATATATCTTGTGAGAGATATTTATGGGTACACTTGCTCTATATGTATTAAACCCATCAAAACCGATCACAAGAGCCCAGAAAGACGTATAATTAGTTGCTATTAAAACCCACAACCTTCACCTAAAAATCTGTATTGTCATTGCCTTAGGCTGGTGTATTTCTGGACTTATAAGCCCCAGCAACCCGCTGTGGTAATCACTGTTTTCGTTGAATTATTCACTGCGACTGTGCGCAGTAAATTCCTGCCAACTTTGCTTGTGATTTTAGTACTCAGGCCATCCATTTCCCAGGCAATGTAACGCCATTAAATATGCAATTCTAACATTAGAAAGACAGAACTGCGCTTTGATTTTGATTTGATTTGATTATATATCATTCGCATCATCATTGTCGGACTCGAAATGGATAGATATACTAGATTAATTTGTGCCAATTTAAAAATCGATGAAATTGCTGCGAAATCGTTGCACAGTAGTCGGCGGAGGAGTCCAGCGAGTCCAGCAGTGCCGCCAGACAATGCAATGGGCAGGAGAGAGAGTGGCAGGACTTATGGAAAGAGAAAGAGTGATAAAGGGAGACAGAGAGACAGAGAGAGAGTAGATTTGCTTGTGTGGGTGGCTGTAGCTGTGGCTGTGGCTGTGGGTTGGGGGCCACAACAATGCAATCAACGAACACAATTAATACACAAATTGCAAGTCGAATAATTCGATTGGAAAAACCCCGGCAACAACAACAACAACAACAGAAAAAAGATGCGGAAAATTGCAATTGAAAATTTCATACATACATTTAATTGCATTCCTACGTATTTTCTGTGCACAGCATTTCAATGGAATTTTTTGAAAAATTGATCACTTTGGTAAGGGCAATTCCTTACTGTCTCTCTCGTTCCAAAAACTTGCTGATTCCAATTATTTTAGCAAGCAATTAAGTTAAATATTTGGATATAGTTTTAGGAAAATATTAAGCTATAAATTAAACTGTTTTTTGAGACTGAAATCAAATAAAAATGTGGCAACAAGCCAACCAACAAATATTGTAGCTAAGATTTAGTTTCGTTTGCATTTAAAAAATATTTTAAAACTATTTAGATACATTTTATAGCCTGGCACTCACCTCATAGGTCGTTGTCCTTAACTGATATTTTTTGGGTTCTATAAAATATCACTTTACAGCTGATCTAACGGTCCTTCCTCGGCTCTCACGCCTCACGCGGCCTGACTTTCTTAGGTTTTTCTTGTTCAGTATAAATTCTCGTAGCTCGACGTTGGATTAGGTTTTAGTTTCTTGTTTGCTGGTTTTTTTGTTCTATTGATTAATTTGGCATACGTTTTGTTAACCGATTTCTGCAATAAAATATTTATTTTCGTTTCGTCGTTTCTTTTTCGAGATCGTTGGAAGTCCGTTTCTTTCTGGTTGTTGTTCTTGTTCGTATGAATATTTATTATTTCTTTAAGAAATTCAAGTCTTTTTTTAACGTTTTCTTTGCTCTTGCTGTTTATTTATGTAAATATGTATAATATTTTTTTATATATTCAAAAAAAACACAGTTTTTATTTGTGTTTAATTTTTAGTTCAGTTATTATTTATCATTATTTTGGTGTTGTTTGTTGCGTTTTGATTTAGTGTTTGTTTAATTTTGTTGTGAGTGCGCACCGCACTGCCCGCTCGCCAAAATTCTATAAATTCAGTATAAAACCTTGTGGTACATAGGGTTCGGGTTCGGGTTCGGGTTCGGGTTCCTATATTCTACCTACACACATATACATCGTATGCAGAGACACTTTAAATATATATATTTCTAGCTAGACGCACTTGTAACCCACAAAGAAAAAATATATTTATGAAAATCGAATGCGAAAACTTAGTTTTTGTTTTCGTATTTATAATTGTATTTCGAACTATTAATGTAGTTATTATTATTTGCTATTATTTATGAATATATTTAATATTGTAATATATTTAATTATCGAATTTGGTTTGTGGGTGAATTGCTTTTGGTCTCTTTCTCAGTCGATAACACAAAAGTAAGTGGTACAGCGGAAAAGTCTGATGGAGATCAAGATCGTGTGTAGATAACTTTTTGTTTGTATTTCTCAATGAATTGTTTTGGCTGCCAGCAGACTCCGAATCGTGGCTGAAACGAGAGCAAAAACAGAAAACGAAAATATGGAAAAAGTGCAGCGATAAGATATCTATTTAGCCCAAAGAGCAGCAGGAATACTTCTGGCAGGGCTCCATCGTAACTGGGTCGCTGGGCCACACCCATTCCCGTACGTGCACACACACTTATGTAGCTGCAAGATCTCTCTTACTCACTCCACTCTCACTCACACACATGTACAAAAATGTACCAAAAAAAAAGGGATCAAGGACTGCCAAAAAAAAAGAACTGTCTGAATGGATGATCTCCGCTTGGCACCTACAGCAGAAGCCCGGCTCTCTCGTCGTTTCTGTGTGGGCTTGCAGTGGGGCTGCCTTTCCTTTTGTGGATTTTACTCTGTGTGTTGGATTGCAGCGGCTGACCGATATTCGGTATTGGATACTCGATACTCGATAGTTGGCTGTGTGTACTACGGAAACAAGGAGGAAATCATATAGCGACGCAAATGATAAATTATATGAGTAGAATAATACAAAACGCGCTTAAAAAAGAACCGCGTTTGCTGGATACGCCGAAGACTGCTTGACTCGTACTGAACCCACGGAGTGAGAGGACCCATGGAGTGCCGGCACTGGCCTACCATTCAGCAGCAGCAGCAGCAGCAGCAGCAGCAGGCGTTAACGTATCCCGTGTTGAGACTTTCCAACCAAAAAGCAGCAACAAACAAAGAGTCGCAACGAATGGACACCCCGTGGCAGAAGCAGCAGCTACACAAAAGAAAAGTTTTGTGTAAAGTAAAAAATATCTAAAATATTTAATATGTAAAATATTGCTTGAAGACTCTCGCAAATAGAAAAGCTTAAATTAAACATTAAATTCAAAGTTAAACAGGTACGCCCAGCACACCCAGCCAGTACAGGGTGCAGCAGCCGGCACGAAGAAGCTTTCGGGACAGCTTTCGTTTCGTTGCGGTTCGGTTCGGTTCGTTTCGGTTGCCGACTCGGCAGCAACTCTACAAGCGGAAAACTCTCCAACGCGTCGGTGTACTGGGGCGGGGTACATTCGAAATGATTTGGAAATGCATTTACAGGACTTAATGCGGCGTGGGTGGAGCATGGGCAAAAGCATTGGGAATGTATGCCACGCGTTATCCCCGTGTAATCTCAGTGGCTGCGGCCCCCGAAACACCCAAACAAAAAAGGGAAAAGCAAAAAGCAAAAAGGAGCAGCGCCCCACACAATACGAAAGAGAAACCAAAAGCGATTTGGAAATTTGTGTGCAAATGTTTGCACTGGGCTTCTGTGCATTCGCATTTGAAATTAATTGAAAAGTCTTTGTCTCTGAAATGCAAACAGGATGCAGGATGCAGGATGCGGGATGCGGGATGCGGGTGGACAAGTGTGTGCACAACCATTGAAGAATGCCTCGGCCAACTTTTGTCTAAGAATAATTAAAGTAGTTCCACGGAGAATTTATAATTATTTAGAGCGTATTTTTTTCTTTCCCTTGGCATTGCAGCTGGCAGTGCTTATCGGTAATGAGAGCTTGCTCCTTGCAGCGCATCAATCTTCGTGGCAATCAATTTGTGGCACAGATTAAGTGGGGACGCGGACACTTAAACTTGAGTCCTGCACCTGCACCTGCACCAGCAGCAGCAGCATCCAGCGCTGGAGTGCTCGTGCCTGCAAGTCAATTGCAATTAGTGAGCTTAACCAACATTCGGGTCAGCTCGGAGCCATTTCAATTAATTAAAATAAATAATGCAATTGTGTGAGCGCGGTGCGGCAAAACCGCTTCGAGCAGCAGCCCACGACCACATCCTGGCATGTCCCTATTCCAATTTAAATTCCAATTGCAAACGCAGTGCCAGTGGCTGTGCCCGCATACAAATGTTTGCATTATCCAAGCAAAATCCTGAACTGGATACATAATGCCCGCCTGCAGTGCTCGAAGATATACGAGTGGTGATATACCCTGCCTGCGGATGCAGTTGCGCAAGGCTCCGGGCTCTGGGCTCTGGGCTCTGAGCTCAGAGCTGTTGAAAGCTCTGACGCGCCTTCAAAGCTCACAGCGGCTTAGGGGCGCTGGCTGGTTCCGTGGAGACTTGCCAGCACTCAGCCCCTTGTAGAGCTTCTCAGTGTGGAATAAATGGAGCCATTTCGGGTGCGTGGGCCCAAAATTGTGTCAAGATGGGGCGCGGTACATGCTGCACCCCAGAAATGAGCACAGGACATTGCCCACGTAACCGCTGCGCACCAATGGAGACATTGAACCGAAAACTGGCCAAAATTCTGCAAGATGCGTTAAAGCTGAAAGGACTGGGCAGGGCAGGGCAGGTCATGCGGTCTATTGGCATCAGCCAGTCACGTATTCGAGTCGCACGAGTTATGCCAAGTTCTACGAGAGTCAACATTGGAGTCTACGTAATTGAGTGCAGCTCGGTGGCGGGCGGCTTGGGGCGTGTGGCTTACCCGCTGCGCGTTTGTGCCTCAAGCTGTGAAATGCATAAAGGAAGCAAATGCCAGAAGAAAAGTGAATTGAAAAGCCCCGCCTTGGGGCATCAACTTATGTTTGGCTTTAATTAGCGTTTAGCGTTTCGGGAAAACCCCTTAAGGAAATGCTCCTCGGATAGCCATGAAAAGGGAAAAATGAGGGAAAATGTTGTACAAGCTTTGGCAGCATATTTTATTGAGCAATTAATTGCATTAAGTTTTAAAACATATTCAAGGGAGTGTTTGAAAGACTTCAAGCCAGAGATCGTTCGTATGGTAAAAGTGAGCAGCGAACTTGGAATTTGTTAGAGTTTTTGAATGACTTCAAAGCAGAGATACAAATGAATTATTACTTATTCTTATAATTACAAATATTTTGTAATATTTGTTGTTTTATTTATGGTTTAAAATACAACATAAACTGTCTTCAAATGTTTTCGCTCATTGCTTGTGGGGGCGGTGAATCAATTGTTTGGGGTTGGGCCATTCAATCGTATCGTATGACAATCGTATCGGGACATGGGTGACCTTCAACAGGTGCACTCGCTCAGCCAATTAGCATATGCACTTGGGGGCAGGCAGTATCCAGATCCAGACCACTCCATCAGCCAGCATGCAGCTCACTCTGTGGCAAGGACAGGACCAAACATCAGGACCTCACTCAAGAGGCGTTTTAACGCTTCAAATGCATTACGAGTACGCCTCGAAGGGGGTTCAAAGGAGACATATGCTCGTGTGTGGGCTTGAAGGGTTGTCGAAGGAGTGGTTGGGGTTGAGGCTACGGGAGGTGGCACTCTAATTGCTTTAAGAGGCAACAAAAAAGGAATCACACAAGTCGCTGCACACCAGCTAATTCCATGCCACCCCCCACCCATCAAAATAAGAGAGAGAGAGAGGGAGAGGGAGAGCCGCAGAACTTTGAACAGCCATCGGAGTGACTTCCGTTTCCGGTTGCCGCACTCCGTCCGCTTCCTTAAATGCTAATCAGCTGAATGGAAAATCAGTTCATCTATATGCCGTCTCCCCCGTCAATATCGATTGAGTGTCTACATATGTGTATGTACATATGTACATGCGTGGAAGTAAATTTTGATGTACAATCTGTATGTAGTCAATCGATACCCAACGATCTTTCAATTATCCAAGCCAGTTATCGATTACTGATCGGTATGCAACGGCAAATGCAACTCTGCATTGAAAAAGAAACAGGGAAAGTTGAATAAAAATAACTAAGGAAGTCCATGAGAGTCTGAACTTTGGCTGACGAAAGTTTGTTTCATGTTACATACTATAGTTATGACACGCACTGTACGTATGCATGAACATATGTAAATACATATTCTATCGACTAGAGACTCTTCACCTTGGAGACCAGCTGCGGATATTGGTACGGCCTGTTGAGAAGTTTGCGTGTCCCCACCATAAATTTTCAAGGTCCGAGGAGAAAATATCGACACAACAGTATATGTCATGCTCTTCTAGCCCATCTACCATATCTCTCTGCGAAAGACTTCCATGGTAGTACGGCTATAAAACAGAAAAGAAAACTCTTCCGATATCTCTCGACGGCTTCTTTATGGTCGTTCCTGTTGCCAGGATGAGCACGAGGCCCATATTTAATAACAAACGGATACTCAACAGGTTACG